ACAGTGCTTTCCTTTTAAGGACGGTGCCCTTTTTTTGTATTCCTCCTTCTCTTTTCCTCTCCAAGTCACCACCGGAGGGCGAGAGAGTCAGCTAGCTATCAGGATAGAGGCTTCATTCTAGGAGCTGGGATCCTGTTCTGTTAAATATTATATAATGCCCTGCAGTGCTGTTTGGGAAGAGGGAAACCCTTAGGGAGATTTGCTCATCTGTGACCCAGAGAAAAGGGAAATTTCAAAGAATCTGTTTCCAAAGGAAATTTTGAGTTTGGAGATTGTCAAGAAACCCCTCTCTTTTGGAAAGTGAAGAAACCCTTGAAGTATTTCTCTTCTACTTCTTATCCCCTCCTCATCAGTCTAATTAACTCTTTTGAAATGCTGCTGTACTTTTAAAATATGTTCATAAAAGAAAAACTACTACTAGATTCTCTTTGTTACTTAGGAGATGATACTTGCTTAACCTTGGAGCCCTCATTCAGTTTTCATGAACTGGTGATATTAGAGGGTAACAGCTCTTCTTTCTCTCATATTACTGAAGGCTTTTCAGCTGCTTCACTTTTCATTTCATAAATATACATAAATCAGTGAAAAATCATCTAAACTAGGAATTGTTACACTCAGCTTTTTCTGTGGCCCCTTAGTTTCTAGGGGAGCTGGTAAGTCTGGAGCACACGTTGGAATGTTCATGCTTATGCACACTTAATACTGTGACCTTAATAGTATCTACGGACATTACAATTTAGGAGCAAGGTAGAAGAAATAAGTGGAACCTAGAAAGAGGGGTTTTCTTCGGTGGCTAGGAAGTCTAGTAGATAAACAAACTAAAATCATCATGCTTTCTCAAGATTGTGCTTAATGCCGAAGGAAAGAATTAGTTTTTGTCCATCCTGAATCTATACAACTGGAAGGGCTAGAATGTCACATCAGTGAATTTTCGGTATTCCAGCTTTTTTTTTTTTTTTGGTGTACACACTTTTTATGTTAATTATTTACATAGTTGTTAGTAATCTAGAAAAAAATAAAGGAAATAACCAAGTAGGTCATTTGACCTGTGATTTTGTTTTTTGTCTTACTGTGTTTTTTGGGACCAGACATTTGATAACGACCTGTCATATAGGCTTTCTCAGTATAAGATGCCCACAGTGTTTAGGGCTGAATTATCAAAGCTAAATGGTTCATCATAGTATTTAGCATGCTGACTAGTATATCGGAAAGATACTGTAGACATATTTTTTACCACTTTTGCCACCTAGGTTCTTTTCAGATCATGCCACTTCTGTAATCCTTAATTCCTATTGCTCAGTTGCTGGAAGAAGGGCTTTCAGGGATTACGTTTTTATCATTTAATATGTAAAAACATCAGCATTTACACAGTGTGTATGCCTCATTATTAAATATGCTTAAGGCTTTTAAGGCCTGTTATTGTTTAGCTAGCAAATAGCTCTGTCATTTTCAGTAAGTAATTGGGGCTTTGCTTTTTTTATTTAAAAAAAAAAAGCAGTGGCAGTTCAATCACAAAATTCTGAGAAAGTAGACATGTTATATGGCATTTCTAAAGATAACTGTTGTTTGCGTATATGTTGTTGTAGGGGTATTTCACTGAGATCTCTTATTTTTGAGCACGTGAACCAAATTATTGCTTCTGTCCATGAAAATAACAGTGTAGAATAAAAAGAAGAAAAGGAGAAATCAATTTTCATAATAGGTGTAACATTAGAAAAATAAAATGGTCACTGACTTCAACTCTAATTGCTTAAAACAAAATGTTTAGCCAGACTCAAACTCAGTTACACTATTTATTGTTGAAAGGGAAAGTATGCCAAGCAGAGGGAAAAAGGTTTTACAGTATGGATGTGAAAACCTCTGTGCTCTACCGTGGCATAAGGCTGCCAGGCTCTATGGAACACAGAGCCTTCCCTTTCTTGGACAGCTCAGTGCTTTGCTGGCATTTTCTTCAAAATCTGTTTTCCATCAGGACCAAGAGGAGGGAAGGTGTTAAGAATAAGGGAGGTTAGAAAGGGGGTTGCTGTTCCTTTAAATAGTGCGGTGAGTCCATGTGGCAGCAGGCCGCTCTGGAGTGTATTCTTTTGTAATGAATCACCAGTTCCATTGTCTGCTATCTCCCCTCTTTGTAGCTGGAAGGCTGAAGTCTTTCACCTGTGCTGCTGCCAGTTCACTCTTCTGCTTCTGGGTGGTTGGGAGAAGAGAAGAGGGAGGGTATTTTATGCTTTAATTAAGACAGATAAGAGCACAGGTAGGTTTGCTTTGTTTCATTTCTCCTGTCTTTTCTAGTTTTGTTTTTGCTTGCTTTGTTTGTTTGTTTGTTTTTTTTCTAAATGAGTTGGAGTAGAGACCCTGTTCTCTGATTTCACTAAACTTGTCCCATCTTCCGTGATTCTGGAAATTCTCAGATTATTTAGTCTCCATTTTGTGGCGTTGCTTTAAAGTGATTCCATTCGATTGCCTGCCAGTCACACTGCCTCTCCACCCCAGCCTCATCCTCCCCTTCGTCCACGGAGCCGCAGCCCACACTGTTTGCTTTGGCACACTTTCCACTTTCTGTGGACTGTGCGGGATTCAAGGGAAGTCAGAGGATAGGCAGGGATTGTGGGTTGGAAACTAAATTTATGTTCCTTTACAGTGAACAAAAAACAGCCTCACTTTTTCCACAGATTCAGTTTCTCTCTGAATTCTTCTACACTGCTCCATATTTTCAATTATAACCATTTCTTTGCCAGGGCCAAGACCAGCTCTTGAAAAGTATTACCCGTCAAGAAATTATTTAGCTTTCCTGAATAGATACCCAAAATTCCATAAATGGACTTGTGATTGAATCTGAGCAATATTGGCTTATGAAATGTTTTTTCTTCTCAGTTACTTCCTAACCACACACTCCCTGCCCCCTTTCTTCTATGCAAAAATGCATCATGACTTTTCCTACAACTCAGTATTATTTTTCCCCCTCTTTCTCCTTAATTTGCAGTTGAGACTAGGTAAGTCTAGTGTTTGACATCCTACTATTTAGGTTCGTACTTACAGAGGACATCATAAGTTGAAAGTCCTGATTTTATTTCTCCAGTGTTGTTCTTCCCAGAAAAATTCCAAACTCAACATCTTTACAGGTCGCCACATGGGAACATTTCTTTACTTTCTGACTTGGTTTATGGAATACTGACATTTTTACTTTTCATTGTGTAATTCCCTACCTTGTGTTTTCTTGTATCTCTTTGTGATATTCAGACAGACTGTCACAAGGAGCCAGTCAGACTGATGGGCACAACCCCCTTTGCCCGCCCCAGTCTACTCCTAGAATACCTCTGCTCTCGGGGACCTGACGTAATTGGTGCCCTAAGTGTTCCCTTCTTCTCATTCTTTTTCCCACCATTACCAGGTCTTTCTGGAATATTTCTTCCCCATACTTCACATATGAAATCCACCAGGCAAAAATGTCATACTCTGCTGCTGTTAGGATTGGAGCTCCTTTAGGATTGGGCTCTGAAGCTCAGCCACTCCAGGGAGGCCAGAAATGCTGCAGTCTGCTGTCATGACTGGTCACTGCCATTTCCCAGACTCTCAAGTGTTTCTCTGTTACTACTGGGGTGATTACATTCAGGGAACCTTGGAATGATTTGACTCATTACAAGGTCATCGCCAGGGTGAATCATTTCAAACACAAGTCTGATTTTGTAACTCCTGTGCCTAAGCCTTACAGTTGTCTCTCTTCAGACTCAACCCTGTGTCCTTGCAGAGTCCAAGGCCTGTGTGATCAGGCACCTTGCCATCTCTCCAGATTCGTCTTCTGCCGCCCTTTTGTCTGTTCTCTCCCTCCAGCGACTCTGGCCTTTTTGTTATTCCCTTAGCACGCCGTGCATCCTCCTGGCCACAGCCTTGCCTCTGCTTCCTCTCTGTCC